GTTGTTTTAGTTGGGCAGCCGGTCACTGACTTAGGAAGATTCTGTCGACGTGTCTAGCTTCGTCAGTAGCAGTATTTTGCAGCCCTGCTGGTGGTGGCTAGACCTTCCCTTGTACCGAAGATGGCCTGATTGCGTGCCGTGTGCCGGCCGACTTGGAGGTCAAGATTGGCCACGCTTGCTGCGGCAAGCGATTCTGAGTCAGACACCGGCTGCCCGTTGTTTTAGTTGGGGATCCGGTCACAGTCGTAGGAAGATTCTGTCGACATCTCCAGCTTCGTCGCAGGAAGTATTCTGCAGCCTTGCTGGTGGTGGCTAGTCCTTCACTTGTACCGATTGTGCGCCGTCTGCCGGCCGACTTGGAGATCAAGATTGGTCACGCCTTGCTGCGGCAACCGATTCTGAGCCAGACACCGGCTGCCCGTTGTTTTAGTTGGGGACCCGGTCACAGTCTTAAGAAGATTCTGTCGACATCTCTATCTTCGTCGCAGGAAGTATTCTGCAGCCTTGCTGGTGGTGGCTAGTCCTTCCCTTGTACCGACGATGGCCTGATTGTGTGCCGTGTGCCGGCCGACTTGGAGGTCAAGATTGGCCACGCTTGCTGCGGCAAACGATTCTGAGTCAGACACCGGCTGCCCGTTGTTTTAGTTGGGGAGCCGGTCACTGACTTAGGAAGATTCTGTCGACGTGTCTAGCTTCGTCACTAGCAGTATTCTGCAGCCCTGCTGGTGGTGGCTAGACCTTCCCTTGTACCGACGATGGCCTGATTGCGTGCCGTGTGCCGGCCGACTTGGAGGTCAAGATTGGCCACGCTTGCTGCGGCAAGCGATTCTGAGTCAGACACCGGCTGCCTGTTGTTTTAGTTGGGGAACCGGTCACAGTCTTAGGAAGATTGTATCGACATGGCTAGCTTCGTGCACTTGTTGGTCTGCAGCAACTTCCATTCGGGTGCAGCCCTGCTGCAAGTCCTTCGTGTTCTTGTTCTCCGCGTCTGCCACAAGCTGCCCAGGTGGCATCTTTCTCCATGCCCTGACCTATGCGCTGCCAGATGGCGTTGCATTCACCTCCCAGGTGCACGCCCTGGCCCCCATGGTGTGCAGTGCGTGTGCCGTGCTTTCGTCAGGCACCGGACTGGGCGACGGCCCGAGCATGAGAAGCCTCAGCCTGAGCGCCTGGGCCCTTTCGAGGCCTCCGGCCTGGACCGTCTCGACATCGCGGCCTGCCACGAGCTCCCCAAAGGGCAGCGATGGGCATGAGCTACTGCAAGTGTCACCGGACGGCGCTTCGACAGAAAGAAATCATCATGAAGACTTGTAGTTTCAAAGTATGTGGTCCAGGGCTCTTCATCCTTTTTCTGCTCACTGCTTGGGCTGCTTCCAACCCAGACATCTTCATGGCTCCGAGAAACTGTGCCGAAAGACATCTTTCTGCCGGGCGTTTTTTTTTTATAACTCGTTTTCTCAAGAGTCCACAAGGAGCATGCAGGCTTGTCGTTGTCTCAGTCTCACCTCCCCCCGGAAGATGCAGTCATTGTGAACACGCCTCTCAACACCACACAGCTCACAGAGTTGCTTTCGGCATTCGCCATGGAATATCGTGTCGGGGCACAAGCGATCTGGCCCTAGCACTGACGAGCTTGATCTTGTGTGAGGATATGTGAAGTTTTCTGTTTGAAGGTGATGCCCTCGGTGCCCGGCAACCGCTTTTTGGACTACGTTCCAGTGCAACACTTAGACTTGTCTTATTCCTCTCTGTCTGCCTCTGCCTCAATCTCCCAGCTCCACGAATCTCCTCACACAGTTACCAGTGGTCTTGGATTCCAAACATGTCATAGTTCGAGTCATTGCATTCGTCGGTCTTTGTCATCGTTCCGCAGTTTGCTGGTGCCTTCGTAAAAGAAGGCAGAGACGCACAGCAGGCAGAGCTGCGAAGCTCCTTCGATGATGCCTTCTACCTCCCGGGCCTTCTTAGCAAAAAGCAGGCCATGCCGAATGCAAAGGAGCAGCTTTAGGCATACTGCCACGAACTGTGCCGAGGACGACGGCTCCTTGTTTCAGCAGCTGCAGAAGGACTGCCTGCATTGGACAGCTTGGCGGTTATCCGTACCAAGGCGATTAGCGTCGGCGATGTCTCGAGAGCCGTGAAGGGATCAAGAAGTGCGGCTGGCCACATGTGCGCTTGCAAGCCATGGCGATGCAACAGCAGCTGGCGGCCGTGTATGCAGAAGTCCAAAGGCTGCAGATGCTCGCGAATGAGATTCCGTCTCTGCGGATGGAAATGGAGTTGCTAAGAGCTGAAGTTGAGAACTCGGGAGCTTCCGATCGGCGAATGCCGGCAAATCTGCAATCCATGGTCCGGCAAGCCGTTATGCACGAGAATGCATCAATATACCAAGAGCTGGCGCGACTTCGGGCGCAGTGCCATGAGCTCTTCGGTCGAGGACCCAGTCCGCAGCAAGAGGCAAACCAGTCATGGTCAGAGTACCTCGGACTTACTGCAGCGGAGCCCACTCCGAAGCCAGCACCCTTCAAGCCGCCGATGGGTATGGAGGATTTGGAGGACTCGGAGGACGACGTGGGTCATGTTCCCGGCTCTGAGCCTGTGCGTCAGATTCATCATGGGGAGTTTCAGGCTGCTCCGTTCCTTGGACTGGAGGTCATTGACTTTCAGCATTCTATTTGGGATGCCGCACTCATCGTCATGCTGCATTCGCGAGACAGGGCACGCCAAGTCGTGGGTAATTTCAATGCTTTCTTGGCAACAACTCTCCTGCTGATGAACATTGCGATTCAAGTTGGCCTGATTCTTGCAGTGAATTCGCTGGCGGAGCCGAACCCGCTGGGAACATTGAAAACCGTCCTGCGAGAGCAGCGCATCCGGGAAGGTCAAGCCTATCACAACTTTGACCGTAAAGATTTGATAACCCAAACGCAACAAGTTTGTAATCAAAAGCTGTACAACGAGATGGCAGACACAACGCACTGGCTCGCGGAATATACGAACCGCGGTGGGGTCTTCGGCAAACTTTCTGGGGACGTGATCTGCATGCTGGCCATGTTCGTTTGGGTAACGAGCATGGCCACCGAGCTCCGGCGCACTGTGCACGACATGGGCTTGGTGGTGGTCTCCCTGCCACGAACAGAGGAAGTGAAGTACCAGCTCCGACAAGGCCGCTACATTATCACAGGTGTGAAGACAGTGCAGAAAGCCTTCTCGGTGATGATGGTCATCCTTCCAAGAACTCTCATAGCTGTGTTCCTGCTGTGGTACGGGCTCATCTATCTAGCTGGTACAATCAACATTGACGACCTGCTGCTCAATGCAGTTGCGTTGGAATTTGTAAAGAACATAGACGAACTCCTTTTCGAAGCACTGGTTCCACGACGAATGGCAGCAATGGTCAGTAACATGGCGATCCAGATCTATGTCTCACGGCATCACACTCTTCTGCCCAATGAGCTCCGGGAGGGCCGATTGGACTTCACTGGTCTGTTGCCACCAGAAACCAAACGTGGCCTGAGTTTATCGCTGCAAAGCTTCTATGCGCTTTTCCGTGTATTTTACATCGCTGGGATCCTGGTGGGTGGCTGGGTCTTCTATCTCGCGCCTGTGGCAGAAGATGCACGCGAAGCTCTCGATGCTGTGTGTGGGCATGCGACTTGGACGGCAGTAGCCAGTATGAGTTTCAATAGTCAAGCGCGACTTGACCGAAGTTGTTTCGGAAGTCGTTCAGGATGTGACCTTCACCTACATGCTGCACCCGGTTACGAACATACCGGTGTTTGCCCACGTGGATCCACTGGAGCCCGGCCGTCACGACAAAGAGGAGTTGCGATGTTTCTATGCCGCACAGTTCGAGATGGTGAAGTTGCGGGCAGGTTTCCAGTCTGAATACTTGGGAGCGAACTCCACCTTGGCCGCCATGATCGGTGGCTTCCACCCTGCATGTAAACCGGAGAACATCTGGGCAGCTGCGGATGTCGCATGCCCTGAGACGAGCCTGCAGTATTTCGAGAGGGCAAAGATGACAGGACCTGCGGACTTCTTCAAGAACAAAAACCAGGACTGTAGGGATCAGGACGTTTTCTTTGCCGTCCTCCGGGCGCTTTGCACACATCCCAAGTTCACAGTGTACACGGCCGGCGAGCTGGACTTCTTTCAGGACACTCATCAGTGCAGTGACTTGCAAATGCAATGCCACAAGAGTCGGAATCACAAGATTTCCCTGCCATGGTTCTGGCAGCTCCAGAAAACCTGTCCCAAGATCAATCTTCGGCAGCCTTTTCACATCGTGTGTTACTGTGGATAATACCTTTTAAACGTAATCAGGGTATATAGAAAAATCACACGCTGTGCTGAGCCAAGGTCCGGAGACGTGTGGGATGTGCGAGAAAGGTGCTCCCGGAGCTGCAGCCTTGGCGCTCGCAGAGTAGGTAACAGGAAGGACCCCTCGCGCCAAGGAAAGCATCTCGCAGTTCTGCAAAGGCGCAGAAAAGGGCAGCGAAGGTCCGGGATACCATGGTTTTCGTATCGCTCTGCCATCTTGTAAGTGGCCAAAGAAGCGTCAGGTGTCGCTTCAGCTTTCAGCTTCATAGCTGTGTATACATGAACCATGTGAAAATGTGTAATCAAAAGTGGCGAGAAAATACAATTGCTGCTTACATCTGAAGATCTTCCGATGCAGCAGGGTGGGTCTCAGAAGTGTCCTTGAAATCGTTTGTAGCATCGCTCGACAGCAGAGCGAGAGCCGTGTGGTCCACACGATAACTGGAGCCATGGAGCCAAGTCCTTAAATTGAATTAGTGAATGTTGCAAGCTCTTGGGTACGGCTTGGGGCCTGAACATCTTGAGATCAGGTGTGTTATGCCACTGTCAGACATAACCAACATCCAGAGCCAGCAGCTTACAATTGCATCTCTGATGTGGGTCTGCCAGTAGCTGCAGTGAACTGACAACGAGGCTGCGCTGACGAATGGAAGGCCATGGACACCGAAGATGCAAGTCAATGCCAGCAGAAATTGTCTCGGTCTCAAGGCTAAGGGTCAGCCAGCTCACAAATCCAAGCAGAATCGAGGTGCCCTCTTTGGAAGCCCAGGAAGCATGCGTCCGATCTGTAGCTCTGGGAGGTCCCCAAAATGGAAGCGTCGCACCGCGGAGACCACGGGCTTCAGCAGAAAGGCCCCCGCGCCGGTGGCTCGGCTGAACTCTGGCGCTGCCGAGCCTCAACCATGTGAGGAAGCAGCAAGCTCACCAAGCCCCGGTGCGCCAGGCCAGGAAACGTTCCAAATGGCCGAGGGTTGCTTTCTTCAGTTCTCAGGCCCTGCTTCCGAAAGACATGGATGTGCCAAGCACCAAACCTGGGCTGGGTGGGCGCTTCTTGGGCGGTGCTTCAAGCCCCCTGGGCATGGAAGTGGAGGCATGTTCGGAGCAAGTAAAAGTTGGGGCTGCGTTTGGGGGCCTTTCCCAGGAGTCTGAGTCCGACCGCATGGTGCTGAATGCTGCGCAAGACCTTTGGCAAGTTTGGGTTGAGAGCCCAGTCGATCCCAGTCGTTGGTTTCATTGGTGTTCCTTGTTTGTATCGCAGAGAGTTCTCGAACCCTCCTCGAAATTGTCCCGGTGCGTGCCGGGATGGGATGCGCATCCGTTCGCACTCTCATTCCTAATGTTCGCCCACCTCTTGTCCCGACTTCCCGACTGTACCAAACGTTTCTTGTCTGTTAGCGTGCTTTCAACAAACACCCGTGACAGCCAAGCTCTTCTGTGCCGCGAAATGCGGCCTTGCAACGGTAAACCTGCACCTTTCCGCAGGGCAGCCAGAGATCGCTCAAAACTTTTTCACCTTCCCTGGAGGCCACAGATGCTCTCCTCTGCCTTTTCTCAGGCCTCGTTCTCTGCAAGAAAACGAACCTTCTGCAAGCTTGGGCGACAAGTCTCCCGCAGCTTTCTACTTCAGACCCCAAGCCCTCGGCCCGAACCTCATACTGTACCATACCATGCCATGATTTACCGTCGCTTTGACTTTGATGTGCTATAGTATGCCAGAATGTAGGTTCTGGAATGCTTTATGTAATGATAGGTCCTGAAGCTTCCTCTGTTGGCTCAGGTCTCGCAGTGCACGGAGCATGCAAGTGCTCCCAGGGGCCTCAGCCCATGGATGCAGTTTGTGCTCTGGTGCCATGGCAGAAACCCTTAGGATTCAGGATTACAGGGTTTTTGGTTCAGGGGAAAAGGGGTTTAGGGTTTTTGCATTTGGGGTTTATGGCGAAAGCCTTTAAAGTCCAGGCTTACTATTAAGGGTTTATCTCATCGTACATCCTGGCACAATCTAGCAATTGTGCCTCGAGGCAGTACTACAAATGTTGCATATGAGAGTATATCACCGCACGTAAATGAAGCACAGAGTCTGTTATGGTGCATCAGGTCATGTTGTAGCACAGTACGGTGTATCATAGTCGTCATAGTCTTTTACAGTGATATTTAAGTACAGTCTAGCGTGTTCCAGTTTGTTATCGCCCAATGTAGTTTCGCATTATGTAGTCTTTTGTATACTTGAGACATGGGACATGGGAGCCCGGAAGGTAGAGAGTCGACATCTGAGGAAGTTTGGACGCTCGGGACCGCCTGGACTGGTGAATGCTCTGCCGCTTCGTCGAGTTCAGCTGGCGCTGTCCAAGTTACCAGGGTTTCGTGCTTAAGCTTTAAGGGGTCCCGTAAACCGTGTAAGCTCTAAACCTGGCCGTTAAAGATTCGTCCCTTGTGTTATTTGCTCTTGTTTTGAGGATGCGCCCTCCTCCCGGCATTCCGAAGCCTCCTTCAACCGAGGCCAGGCACAGACTCACTTGTGTTTCGGGTAGCATCGAAGTTCCGGAAGAACGGAAGAAAATCAGACATGTGATGTCACGTGCACGTCATCTCTCAAGTTGCGGTACAGTGACAAAAAGATTTTCAGTTCTGTTGCGAGCACGAGTACCGGCATGGTACGTGTAATCCTTCCAAGGTGAGGGCTCGTTGAGTCTGTCGTGAGACATTCGGTATGCAAGTGACTCTATCGTGGCCCAGACTTGCGGCTCTTCAACAACAAGAGGATTGTCTAGAGTCCAGGGGCTTTCTCAGCCGATGCAGTCCCGCATGCTGTTGAAGTTATCGGGTGCTCTACTGCTCTTTTGCGCATGGCCTGGAGCCTTTGTGAGATGGACAGGTTGGCAGCAAGAGTTGCGGGTAGCCCGTGTTCGGGCCAAGGCTTGTGAAGAAGCATTCGCATCCATCGCCCCAGTGGAACAGCTCGGAAGCTATTGCTGGGATCCAGAGGGCTTGCTTGAAAAGTCACTGGTCGATGTGACTGTCAACGATGTGAAGCGCGGCCTCCGGAACTCCGAGAGGCGTCCGAAGCAGATTCTGGATCTGGAGAGCATCAGCTTGCCTTGCCGGCTTCGCGGCAACCTGCGTCCACAGGAGGCTCCCAACAAGTTTCCCTACAAAGCAGGATTCCTCCCAGCTCTGGTCATGGCGCAGCGGAGGGGTCTGGATTTGCAGCAGGTCGACTTCGTGCTGGGCGGCAGTGGTGCTGCCATGCTTGCGAAAAGAGCTATCAAAGAAGGGACGAAGTATTTGGTCCAGAGAGTTCCGGGCAGCGGAGCGCTAGTAGTAGGCAAGTCTAAGGTATATACACAAGACTTCTCAACATTTGGATTCCAGTTTGAGCGCCTTGTGACGGGTGAGCCTTTGGACGGTCTCCATGATCTAAAGCAGCATGAGGCCTTGCAATTGGTAGACATTGGCGGATTTCGTGTCCTCTTTGTGGCAGAGATAGATGCAGTCGATGCTGCTGGAATGCCCGTGGAGATTAAGAGCGGCAACCCCAAATACTTCGGCATCGATGTTGCACTACAGATGCTATCCAGTGGGGCATCGATGCTTCTCAGGGCTGATCGCCATCGTAAACTGGTAAAGCAGGTTATTGCTGTGCCCTTTGCCGAGTTTGTCAGGGACCTTGGCGTCAGGAAGGTGCAGCAGTCTGAGAAGACACTCGTGGCTGCACTCGGGGAGCTACGGAGTGCAGCGAGTGCCGCGAACGGTGCCTCCGAGCTCAAAGTTGCTGCCGACCGATCCCTGTATCTCACCCGCAGCGACAACACACTCCTGCCAGCTGCTTCCGTGGTGGAGGAACTCCTATGCGTGGAGTGAAGCAGCCAACAAACCTTTCGTGGACAGTGGATCTGCTCACCAGACCAGATCTCAGGATTTAAGCAGAAGTCCTTGGATTGAATCCTGAGCTCTAACCGAACCTAGCAGCGACCTTCAGTCGTGTATGAAGCTCAGCAGTGTACGGATCTCAAAGCAGACGGATCAGTCAACGCTGAAAGTGCGTGTTCGTAGCAGGATTCTTTATGCCCTGTTGATTGCCCTGGTGCCCCCTTCCCGGCAAAGCACTTGGATGCAGAGGAAGGTAACATGTCTTGGGACGATGCGCGCGATCATGCCCAAGGAAGCAAATTACTGAAGTTGTTATTGGAAACTACCGTTGAAGGTGTTCCGTTTGTCGTGAAGACTTGCTGCTATTGGATAGACGTTGTACCCCTGTCTTTTCAGTCGGCAGAACGTTGTTCTAGAGGTTGAGATAAAAAGGTACTCTTTCCTGTGTGAATGGGGCCGGCTGATTGGCTGATTTGGGGACAGGATTTTCCCACCACTACCACTAGCGGCCGGAACTAGGGTCTGCAAAAACAACGCTAGCTTAGACTTAGGCAGGGTTAAGAACCCGCGGGATAGGTGACAGCCTCCTGATTGTCTCATATGCAATCCGCATCGGCAGGTTCCCATCAGGCCCTACATGAATTTCATCTGCGAGGCTGACTGTCTTTATGGCAGTGGCACACCTGTGTGTGGTGACTTACTCCACGACTTAGAAAGTAGTTGTACAGCTGCATGACAAGTATTGCAACGTTTACGAGCGCGATGCCACATGTTGCACACTGGCTCCAGGAACTTCAGGAAGGATCCTTCGCGACTCTGATCGACAACGAGTTCCTGGAGCTGTATGGTCCGGCAGGTACCAGAGTAAAGGTGAAGGAGCTTGGGGAAGACGGATTGGTGCATGTCGCCATCGTGGACTCCGACCGTTCTGCTTGGATCCCGAAGGAGTACCTCAAGGCAGGGAGGGGTCTACAGTGGCTGAGAGGATGTCAAGAAGGGCAGGGTAGCAAGTGCAGGCCGAGCCGACTTCCCACTCGCAGTTGCAGGACCTGCTATCGTCAAGTTACCTAAATACCCTAACCTGAAGGTAACCTCATGCAACCCTTATCAAAGCCCCTTAGTAACCCGACATTGTGGCAGCTTCCCGAGAAAGAAGGAGCTTCTGGCAGGCGGCCTTCTCCTGGATGGGTGCAGGGATCCCTGTCACCTTGTGGTTTTCGGATGCTCTGGGAGCCTCACGACATCTGAGGCCATCGCCACACAGAAAGAGCTCGCCCTTATTCCGAGGATGGGAGCTAGGGCCAGAGGGTTTTTTTGAGGGAAATGGAGATCGAGGGGCTGCCTGAACAGGACATCCATGCCTGCATTGGCTCTGGAGATCGGCAACAGAGTGTCCTGTGGCTGGCGCAGGCAGATGGGTTCTCTTGACCGGAAGCGGGTTTCTCCACGTCACTCCCCGTAATAGCTCCAGGTGTTTTCAGAAGCAGAAAACTGATGCGAGAAGTCTGAAATCGCCTGGAACACATCATGGACGTTCAGGTGTGCTCGATTCATCAGCTCGATGACTCCGTGTTGTTTGTCTGTGTCATGCTGCTGGACCGCTACTGCGCAACCTCTGAGGACAGAAGCCTTGTCAGCATAGGCATAGATGGTCACATCATGTTCCCACACACTGCAGTCTTTGAGAGGATCATATGGAACTTGGTCGGGCTCATCGTACGGTCCTGGCCATTTTCAGCATTGCCTTGAAGGCCGAATGAGGTTATCTTCTTTCATGCGCTGGCAGAGCTACAGAGTCAGATGCGCAGGTTCTGGGAGTGGCAGCTGGCGGCGGCAATCAGCACGAGCACCTGCGTTTCATCGCCGAAGGGTTAGGCAGAGGGCCTGGGCGGTGGTCACACCGGAAAAACTACAAGCATGGTCCGTCGTTGTTCCTCCCCACTTTCATGGCGATTGACTTGCAGATTGCTCGCGGCGCAAGTCTGCAGCCGTTCGTACCGGAGGTGAGAACAAGTTCTCCAAACAGGACATCATTCGTGCCGAACTGGAGGTTCTGCAGGTCAGATGGACACGTGCTGACCAGTCTTCATTGACGCCAACTTACGCCATGAACTTGTGATTCCAGGCCCTCGGCTTCGATGTGGTGTCGGGCTGAGCACGAACTCTCGACAACCAGGTGGGGTTTCCCTAGGATTGTCAGGGCAGCTGACTGAGAGGCCGCCCACTCGCCACTGGACTTCCTGGAAAGCTTCCTGTTCTCCGTGGAGAGGCCGCTTGTGGAGTAGCCTTGATGTCCTAGCTTGGTGTCAACAAGAAGACCCACTCCACAAAGCTCATCGATGAGAACAATCTTCCTCCTTTTGAAGGGAACTTGCAACTACTAATCCCTCCCCCCTAATATTAAACGGCGGGGGGCCCCCCCAATAGATACTCGGAAAGTGTTTGTATTTTTAGGGGGGTATTTTTATCTCTACTGTCAGATTTGGGTACAATTACGACCGCTCCACACAGGCAGGCTCAGAGAAAGCTTGTGAAACCTGACCTAGTCCTGCCCCAACAGACAGGCAGTCAGGCCTGCAGATTTAGGAAAGTGTGAGGCAGGCTTCGGACAGCCACGCTCACAGACCGAGCTGCAGACAGGCCGTCGCAGCTGAGAAAACACCGACAACTGGCAACCAGGGAGGCTCACCCTAAACCCTCAACCTTTGCCCTAACCCCCCTAATTCAGAATAGGCTTTAAAGGGCACGGGTGATTTCGGGAGGATTGGGTCCTATTTTTTTTAGCATTAGGGGGTGCTTAATTTAATACAAGGGGAAGCGATTAGTAGCGAACTAACCAAACTGCAACTAACCATTGATTTACTGGTAGCTTCTTGCACTTGGGAGGCCCAGGCTGAGTGGCACATCGGCAGCCGGGAGCTCGTTGCCCTGAGGTGACCCGCCACCGCAGTGAGCTCTGTGAATCGCCGAAAGCAGAAGCTTTTTGCACTGAGTTGGCGTGCATGGCGACGTTTTTGCTGCAGCTGTCTCTGGGTGACGCCAACTTACTTCACAGGCCTGGTCTCCCAAGGAGTCCGTCAGGGCCTCTCTGTGTGCCGGCAGGTATCCCTACGCTGCCCTTGCTGCTGGGGCCGTCTATGTGGGCCTTTGGTGCACGCAGGCCTGGCCTTCTCAGCTCCGCAGTCGCCCCCCGAGCCGTCCTTCGTGCAGGCGAGCTCTGAGCGCTGCCAGCTCCTGCTGCAAGATGTGAGGGGCTCGCAATCCGATGATAGCTACTACCGTCACCAAGACACTCTAAGAACGACCACAAATTTGTACTCTTACCAGCGCGATGCTTCCCTGTCGGGAAGTCTGCCTTCGAGGCCCGGGAGGCCTTGTGAGAGCCTTATGGGGAGGGACGGGCCGTCCCTGGATGGCCCGGAACGGTTTGGAGCTCTGGGAGCTGTCTCAGGTCTCCGAAGCCGCAACCGGCAGCCAGGGTCCCCTGAAAATTTCATGAGTCACAGGGGGGAGCTCACAGAGATCTGAGGCCATGGACATGGTGCCGGAAGGCCTCGGCTCAGACCACGTCCTGCTTGAGTCGCTCTGCTTCGCTCTGCTCGATTGGCAGATGAAATCTTCACAGACTTCGATTTCGCCATCTGCGAGGTGTGAAGCTAACAGGCGCGACGCCTTCTGCAAAAGTTCGTTGCGCGGTAAAATCGGAAGAGCTCATCTCTGCAGGTTGTCGAGAAGGTCCGCTGAAGCTGGTCTTCGGTTGCTGTTCCTGACCTATCTCCAGCCGATCCGCGTTGGTCCGACTGGACCGTTTTCGGATGGACAACAAATGTCCACCTGCACGTAGGATGGGATCGCAGATCACGGTAAGGCTGATGACGCGAAAGGAGCATCCCATCATTGCGTGCTGCATCTTCGTTCCTAATCTGGAAGCACAGATTGAAATTCAAGCGATTCAAGTGCAGCTTGAGCCGACTGCAAAGCTGGCTTGTCCGGAGATCTGAACGCAGAGCCGGTGAAGCTCCAGGACAGGCCCAATTCGCTACCCGCTCGCTGCTCGTTTGGACCAGTGTCAACAAGGTGAGGCTGTCTATATTGGGTATGTTGGCAGGAATCTTGATGATCTTCCGAAGTGTGCAGCAACCGGAGACGTTGACTGGTTCGTGTAGATAGCTTCGCGTGCTGAAGTGTCGATGCATTGTGTGCCAGCTCCATGCAGTGATCTGCCCTACGACCCGTCCTTGTCATCGAGTGGCGTTGAGTTTTGAAAGAGAGTAGTCGGACAAGCTTTTCGACGTCGCGTGCGCGGCTGAGCAACCTTGCGTCAGTTTAGGTATGGAGGTGGCCAAGCTTAGCAGACTGACTTGCACAGGAACTTACAGAGAGAGAGAGAGAGAGAGAGAGGCGTGTATGTATGTATGCATGCATGCATGTAGCTACTTTGGCATGTATGCGTGTATGTGCGTAGGTCCATGACTAGGTATGTATATGTTGATGCAATCGATCTGGCCTTGGCCCTCCAGCATGTGAGTCGCGAGTAGTGCCATCTCGGCAAATTCATAGACGGCTGTGTGTAATATGCATGCCGTGCAGGCCCTAATTCGTTCAGGGGTCGGGGTAGTTCGTAGTTTGAGGAAGTGTGCTGCGTGTGTAACTGCTAATCGTTCAGGATTTCACGAATCGAGTCCGGATTTCTTGGGCTAGGCTTGCGGCACATTTTCTGTTCTCCCTGCTTCCAGCGCTGGCAGCATGCAACTCAACTGTCTTGGATTTATTTTCATCTCTTTTGAATGTAATTGGTGTTCTAGCCAAGAGTGGTATCTACACCATGCTGGCTGCATGCGGGGGTGAAGTTGGGATGTTTTTGGAGTCGTCGATCTGTGATCGTGGAGACTGCAGAGCCCTTGAGACTGCTTTGGGTTTGGCCTGCAGCTCAACTTGCGGACTGTGCTGCAAGCACCGCAGCATGTGACGTGAGTCAGATGTGACGTTTCCGGACACCAAGTGCAGGCAGGGAAACCTGTCCTGTGCATGGCGTGTGCTCAGTCTTGCTGACTGACTTAAACTCTATGATGTTACTATGACGGGATTTAGATGAGTCGACTCAGTCGATCGGCCAGGGAACTGCACCGGCTCGACATAACGGTATGTTGTTTAGTTTGAGCACATTGCTGCGTTGTTTTCGATGCGTGTCGAGGGAGCTGCAGGATCCCCGCAAGCCTAGCGGTCATTCTTGGTGCCCTCGAGGCTCTGAGGCTTGCAAAAAGGATTGGAGACCGACAGCGTTTTCTGTCACTTTAGTTCGAAAAGTTTTGGTGTGCTCTGACTTCATGTTTAAAACACGAGCCTCACACGGAGGACTCGAAGGACGACATCAGATGCCACACTGCAGACGGAGGCTCGAGCAAAGCCGCTCAACTGCGTTGTGTGGTCATGGACGGTATCCGACGCGGTTCTGTCGCGAGCGTTTGGCAGAGGAGCGGCAGGGGCGGCCATCAAGGCCAGAGATGCCGCCACAGCCAGAGCCACCAAGCAAGGAGGAGGCTCGCAGAGCGTGAGAAGCCGAAGACGCAGGAGGAGGCGCTGGCGGAGGCGGCTGAAGTAACCAAATTGCTCCAGGCCATGCAGGGGACGAGGGAGGAGCGGCGAGCAGGTCGTGCTGGGCGAGCAGGTTTTGCGGTCTCAGCTCACATCTGGTATCATTCCGTGCATCAAGCTTCCCCCAATCTACAGCGCTGCGCTGCTGCAGCTGCTTGACGTAGACCGGGTTATGCAGCAGCCATCAGCAGCCCAACTCTGGACGTTGCATCGGCAAGCGGATCCACACTCATCAGATGCCACACCGCAGGCGGATGCTCAAGCAAATCCGTTCCAGTGCACGCTTAATCAGTGCAATCGAATCTGAGCTCTTGTTGCGCGCCAACTGCACAAGACAAGAGGGAGAGGCCAACGAACCTTCGTGCTGGGTGACATGACAGAACATCGCACCAATTATGCAGGAGTGAACAGATGGTGCTTGCGGTGGACCAGCAAAGCGTGCTAGACCGTTCTTGGCCGAGCACGTGCAGATGTGACGATGGAGCCCATGGTCGGGAGGCTGGGTTGAAAGGCACACGAAGTGGTGCAGCTGCACCAGAGCACGCAGACGAGACAGCTAGGCCCAGTGAGGCCCTTCGACAGCAGGTTCCATGCTGCCCAAGACTGAAAATGCGTGCTAAAGATGGCGTTGCTGGCGGCACGTTTGTCAGGATTAGCGCAACCTTTGACCACGGCGTGGCCTCATCCTTGGGAGTGTGCCGCCACAGCCGCTGCTCCCTGTGGCTAGTCAAATCTAAGCTGCAGCGGCACCAGCGAGTCCGAGTACAGGAGTACAAGAGCGATCGGAAGAAGCGCTGCAGTTTCAAATTCTTTGATTCACGACTAAAGAACCCAGGCCCAGGCCCAGGTCCAGGCAGTGTCCCAAGCACCCTGGCGGTGCGACTGGGCCTACCCGCCTCCAGACTTCCGATGTGAAAGAAAAGTCGCTTCGGTTGCTGGGAGTCTTGTGGCTTCGGAACACGGGGAGAGTAGGCGAATTCCTAGAAGCCATGGTATCGGATCGGTCTCGCGAGGAGCTGACGTTCCGAGCGGCCTGGCTGGACTCCGGGCTGCCGTTCTCTCGAGCCTTGGTTGCGCGATGCTGCGAAGTGAGAATACTAGATATAAAAAAGTGTAGCATGCTATACCCCAAAGCCCTAGTCTAATTATTAAGGCGATCTGAAACGGAGTCTCAGCGATTGCACCAGCTGAGTGCAAAGTTGACCTGAGGACAGATCTGCCTCGTTTACGACGATGTTTTGGCCAAAGCGCCGACTCTCCACGCGCTCCTGGAACACCTGGCAGAGGTCTAAGAGCTCTGTTGCTGTTAAGTTCTTTTTCCCCAATGTTTTTGGTGTTGCTTGGGACATGTGGCTGGTACAGCTGGCAGCTGGTGCCCGAAGTGCAAATGTTGTCAGTAGCAATGGCAGGTCTTTGGCGTTCGGCCAGTCCTGGGCTTATGGCTGGTCTGAGCGGTGGGTACTCGTAAAGTCACGGATGCTCTCTAATTTGTTGCAACCTGTTGCATGGGACCGAGTGCATAATGTGTGAGGCTCCATGGCCCGTGCTGCCGACATTTGTAGTCTCAAGGCCTTGTGGAGACTTGTCCAGGACTTCCCCTGTGATGAAGATGACAACTGTGGCGAAGACGTCTGAGCAGTGGAGACACCGGGGAAGGTATCATGAGTGTCCTCCAGTGTCTTGATGACTGGCTGATTTGGCGAATCGTCAGTGCCGTCGATCCCAGAGACTGGCAGCTCCTGTCGACCGCTTGCCGGTCCGTCTGCAACTTCGTGCTCGCCTTTCTTCGTGGTCTGCATATTCTGGACCTGTCAAGCATCGGCAACGTTAATCTGAAACGACTGGTACGTGCTTGCCCAAACCTTGAGGAGCTGTGCTTGAACACCTTGCTGATTAGAAGCCAATCCCTGACGTATGTGTCGAGCCTATCGAAGCTGCAAGAGTTGCAGCTGCGCGAGTGTCCGCTTTTGACGGATGCCGCACTGCACTCGATCTTCAGCGGCCTGGAACTTCAAGTACTGGATGTAAGCTGGGCAGCCGAGTTCAGCGATGCACCCTGGACCCATGCGCCAGCATCGTTGCGTGAGTTTCGCGGGGTTGGTTGTGAACATTTGACCGAGAGGGTAGTGGTACATCTGTCAAAGAGGTGTCCGCATCTCACAGTGCTCCACTCCTCTCGCCATATCAATTGGATCGGAGCGGCACGTCCAGAGCTGTTGGCTTCCCTGGTTGACATGCAAAATCTGCAAGACGTGGCTTTCCAAGACATACCGCTGAATGATGACCTCCTCTACACACTAGCTTGCTTGCCCTCCTTGTCCAGGCTTGAACTCTGGTCGTACAACAGCGATCAGTACATCACCGATGCTGGCGTGATCTGCCTCGCTGAACAGCTCCGCAAGTCTCTCACCAAGCTGAGCTTGGACTCCTTCGTCTTCCATGGGACAGGGGTTCTGTCTGCGCTGTCAGGCTGCTCGCTCCAAGAGCTTCTGCTTGAGGGTACTTCGCAGTGCCACATGGGTTGCATCAACAACGTAAAGCTTGCAGCCAGCCTCATAAAGCTGCGGCTGGCAAATTGTGGCTTGGCCGGGATCATGGACCTCTCTGGTGCAGCTGCACTCGAGTACCTTTGGCTTTTCGACAACCCCGGACTTCAGGGAGTGCAGGGGGCTGGGCAGCAGCTGAAGACCTTGAACCTGGGATGCACCGGTTGCATAATCATCGAAGGCTTTCGCTTCGATGGCCTGGATCTGCTGGATGTTTCTTCCACCTTGATGTCGGAAAGAGTGTTCGAGGCCGTCCTGCTGGCAGCTCCCCTGATCACTCGAGCGGTTCTCGGCAGCAACCTTCTGCCGCTGCCCCTGCTGATGGCCTTCTTACAGCAGGCAACACACCTCAGGAATTTAAGCCTTGTCGGTGCCGAGGGAAGTGGGCTCGCTACTCTGGCCAGCTTTCTGTGGGAAACGCGTTCGAACAGCTCTGGTGTGGCTTCGGGGTTGGAACTACTGGAGATCTCGGAGGATTCGTGTGCCATGTTGGCCGAATGGCTTACTATGGAGCTGGATCACATGGTGCTTAAGAGAAGCAGCAAAGACATCCGCATATGGATCATCGAGCAGCACGAGCACAGCAGTCCATATGGTAGGATTGATGGCGCTGATGACTCCTGGCTACCATCATCCGTCCCAGCATAGCTCGAGCGGCCCAAGGCCACAAGAGCCCCAGTCCCGGTGCAAAGAAAAACCCTAAGTTGAGCGCTCCGACCTTCATCAGCGACCGGCCGGGCCTCCGAAGCTCTCTGCCCCGCTCTTGTCGAGGTTAGCTGCATGGCCAGTTTGTGCCCCCTTCGGGCCTCCTGCCTCGGGTGCCTGGTCCTGCGCTCGCTACCGAGACAGGTACAGACATGGCGGCGACTTCTGCAACTTGCACTTCGACGAGCTCCGAACTTGGGCGAGAGAGTGAGAGCAGGGGAATGAGGCGGCGAGCAGCATCTTATTTGAAAGCTTCTCTGCAGTGTCTCATGGGCAGCTGCAGGTACTCCGTCGCTGACGGCAAGATAGACTTCAGCTTTGGATTCACGTTTGGGGAGGCAGGTCGAAGCCTGGGCTTCTTCGCACCGAGCACCTGTGCAGCGCAAGGATCGCCAGCTTGTTTTCGAGCACCGTGAAGGCCACAAGGCGACAGCCCTTGCTGGCCATGAAAAGGCTGCCCACGCGGTCGTGTTGACAGGTGCAGTTCGCTCTTCCGCAGCGGAACGGTGACGTCCACGCTTTTGGCGAGGCAGCATGGCATGTGCTCTTGAAGTCGTAGTTATGACTGTGACAGCTGGCGACCCGAAGGGAACTAATGGCCGCTGGCGGCATGGAGCATTCGACTTACCTGTCCTTGATCTGCGCAGCTTGCAAAGAGGCTGCGCGAATCGCAACAGGAACCCTGATTAGAGAAGCCTTGACCGCCTTGGAAGCTCCTAGGTTCCACCCTCGCTAGAGTGCAATGGTCCGAGCATCAGCATCAATGTTTGGGGATCCCGAGGCTCCTTGTTGTCCACTCAGAAAGCACTCCCCGTACTTCGATTGCTGCAGGCCACGAGGAGTTCGACATGCCCGTCTCCTTAAGAGGCCGCTGTTGCGGCTGGTGGGTTTGGCTCCCGCGCTTTGGGGGCATGCTATCAGGTCGGTTTCCTCGGATACAATTTCAAGATCCAGCTGCCGCTTCGCATCCCCGCGAGTGCGAGGCGCCTTGAGTGGAAAGTCTGCGAGCCTGAAGCCTTGCATGGCAACTGTACGGAGAGTGAAAGGCCTGTCATCGCATGGCTGAGCTGCAGGGTCTTCTCCCGAGCACGTCTGGATGGCATGGCGAACTGCTCTAGGATCTCTCTTGCGATGCTTCCAAAGGTGGCTTGAAAGACTTGGATGGCCGCTGGAGTTGCCGGAGCTGCCAGGGCCAGGGTGACCTGGCCCTGGGCCTTAGCTGGCGACCGGCTTCGGCGAAGTCCCCCAAGGAAGCGACAGACTGCCTCACGGTGAAAGGTGCGCAACTGGCCTTGGCCATCTTGGCTGGACGACGGAATTATCTCTTTCGCAGGGCAAAGTTCCCTGATGGGTGGCACCTGCCCCATGCATCAGCAGGCTTTGCCGGCTTTCTGTAAGCGTTTGCATCGGTTCTGATGTGATTGCAGTCAGAACCTGAACCAAGGTACGCCCTTCACGTCGCCAAGGAGTATCCCGATCCAGAGAGTTCCGAAACTCTCCAGCTTCAAGGAGAGTGGCCGTCAGCCCCGGCGGAAGAAGACCTGCCGCACGAGGCTTTCGTTGGCCTCCTCTATGTAAGAGCTGAAGGCTTCGCGGCGAAAAGCGTGGACTGGAAAGGGGCTCTCCGGAAGTACTATGTTGCCAAGACGGTGGCATTGCAGGATCCGCGATTGCAGCAATGCAGGGCTTCTCATGCGTTGAAACTCTAGGGACTCAAACGCCCTGAGTGCGGCGTGGACTTGATCTGAATAGCTCGTGGCGTAGGCAACTTGGATCTAAGGGGTGCCAGTTTGCGTTTTGGGAAGTCCACTGCACGCACGAGCCATGTGTTGACAACCGTAAAGTCAGATGCCGGTGCTGTCGTCTCCGCCAGTCAGTACAGGCTAAGGTCGCGGCATTGCTTAGCCATGTCTCTCGTGTCCAAAAAGTGTCGCTTGCAAGGACCCCTTGCCAGCTCGTTCTCCGGGAATACCGGAAGAGCCGTGGAGGCTGAGCCCAATAGCCCGACGTGAAGTATCCGAGCTGATCGGGAAGATTTACGAGCCGCTCTTCAGCCTTGGACCGGATGCAGGGTTGCTTAGCTGCACGGCGCCAGCGGCCAGCGCAGTCGAACTCAGGAATGCCCATGCTGAAAGTTCATGGACGCACGAGCCATCCTGGCCAGCCGCCTTGTCACTTGAGCATCTGGAGCTTCCGGTCACGTTGTGGAGCTTCCGCCTTTGCCGCAGGTGGTCCAAATGGTCGGCCTGGGAGTGGGGCGACTCGTGGGACTGGCACGATCGGGCCTGGAGTGACTGGGCCGAGGACTGGGGCCCTGGTCTCAGCCTCCTCAGCCGTTGCTTGGCCCGAAGTGTGGTTGCTGTCTGGGCGAGGCAGCTGGAGGTGGAGTCGGGACAGCTGGCAGGCCCCAGCCATGAAGTTTGCATGAACGACGCTGCGTTTCCACACCCTCGTCGTTCCGTCCAAACTCACGCTGCATGCATTGGGATCCGCAGTCTTTGGCCCCGAGCTTGTGTGTGGACTCACGCCACCTTTTCAACATCATCCAGGTACAGACGTGCTGTTTCCCCGTACATATGGCAGGACTGCAAGCTTGCGCAAGCTCTCGTGATATTGTCTCGAGGATGGCTCGTCACAGCGCATTCGGCCGTGCAGTGCTGCTTGTGGGAGCTCTGGCTCTGGTGAGGCGGCGCAAGGAGGCTTTGGAGCCCAAGCCCTTCCTCTGCTCCTCTCTCGAGGACGCTCTTTGGATCCACCGCCTTCACCGGCATGACTGGCAAGAACATCTCTTCAGGCGGCCGTTGTAGGAGAGGGCTCATGGCCTTATTGCCAGTGCCGCTGAAGGACCCCAGTGCCAGATCGTGGTGGCTAGGAAGGCCCGGAGCCGCCCGGGGCGAAACGGGATTTCGATGCGTTTCTTCCCTCAGGTGAGCGAGGGTGACTCGCTCCCATCGGTGGACGTGGATGTTAGCAAGCTCGGGCCCTGGTCCTTTCGGATTTGCAGACAGAAAGATGGGTCTTCCATGGGTAGATGCCGTGGATGTTAGCCTGCGAGCCGTGGGTGTGAGCGGGTGCATGTTGCAATGCAGGCCCGGTGACACAGTGAACGTTGCGGAGCTCTTCAAAGGTCCCTGCAACCGGTCATGTTGAAGAGCATGGTCCAAACTTTCCAAACATTGCAGGCAAGAAGGGCGTGCTGTTCGCCGTCCCAGGTGCCTTCACGCACACCTGGCTCGTATTTTGCTTGTGCTAGCCTCCACGGTGCTTCTGTCAGCGGTCTTCGCCACAGGCCAACTTGCTCCGAGAAGCACCTGTCCGACCCTCGTTCTGGTTTCAAGTCCCGTTGAGTCGCCATTTTTCGCTTTATGTCCAACGAGCCAAGGCCAGGCTACATTGAGCAGTCGGAAGAGCTGAAGGCGGCAGGCGCTGAGGCCGAGCGATCGGAGTCGAGTTCTGTGCTGGATTCGGCCGAAGCTTTACCATAGATACCTGTAAACTTTACCATGGCTTCCAGCTTTTTTTGCAGCTGTGGGTAGGTCATCGCCTGCGTGGCCGTCAACGACCCCTTTGTGATGAGCTCCTGGGGAAAGCAGCAGGAGGCGCAGCCAGAATTGGAGGGGAGCCGGATGGTAAGAGTCCGGAGGCTTGTAAACGGTCCACCAACGGGTCATGAGCTGGACACCAATCCTGGTCATGCTTTTTTCTAGAGACCAAGCTAATCCAAGCTATTTGTTGCCCCAAAGGGTGAGTGCCGGCGTGGATTTGCATGCTATGGTTTGCACGCAGGTGGTTCACAAGCAGCGTTGTGGATAGCCTGAGACTGAATCTCTTTGGAGGCCGAGGGCAAGGTCACGATGCTTGCTGACACCAAGTGCGAGCTGACGAAGGAAGGGAACCACAGTAAAATGAGACAGGTCCGACAAAATGAGAACATGCACACGTCGCGGTCCAAAGGCACTGGACATGGAGCTGGACGCCACGGCCAAGCTCGGCAACGTTAGGCTCACGACGACCACGCCGGACGTGTTCTCTTCGTCTTGGATAGTCTTGGACCTCGGACCACAGGTCACAGCGATACGCCATGATCGTGGACGCAAAGGGCCTCAGCAGTGTGGTTTGCCCCGAGCTTCCTCTCGAAGTATCGACGTGTCGCAAGAAGCCGAGGATGGCAAGATCACCAAGATAACCACGGGCGACGACTCGCGGCCGGCTGAGACTAGCAGGACCACGCCTGACCGACAGGAGTGTGCCATGCTCTTCTGCTTCTGACAGATTCCCAGTACAGGGAACTCTGGTTGTCTACTTCCAAACTATCCTAAGGTTCGCACCTGACATCTTGGAAGCCCTCAAGCGCTGAGTAGCTGAGCACACGGCCTCAGTCGTCTGTGCCGCTAGTATACATATATCATGTATGTATCTAATTAGTATCACGCTGTTTAGTTTAAGACGTGTTTCCACAACTCAGGACGAGGGTTTCATGTATCATGATGGCGGCATGTGCCCAACATGGCCTCCCTGTCAAATCAGGTCTCTGCCTTGCGGAGTGGCGACTTCTTGATATGAATTTTCGAGCTGGGTTTCAATCCTCCAAGTGATGCCGCCGACCTCACAAAACTACTCTCCCACATCAGGGACTTTTGTGCTACATCACTTGTGGACGACCATGCACTAAACATGTAACTCTTGAGGACCTCGCACAAGCGTGCGCTATGCAGGGGTCACTCCAGACTCTAGGATCTCGCGATTCGGCGGCTGTGACAAAGTGCATGCCTTTGCTCGCAAGACACAGCGGCGTTGCTACGGACCTGTCAGAAACCCCAAGTTCAAAACAAAAAAAGCCCTATCCGAAGAGGCTTGGGCTCCGTCCCAGGACGCGGTGGAATGGAGCAGTCGCCTCAGCTCTTTGGCTTCCCGTGCTATCTGGAACCCTCCCTTAGGCCCTATTCCCTGAACGTGACACGTAAGCTGATCTCCAGTGCTCTCGATTAAGGTGCCGGGATTGCCGAAGGCCAGGAGCTCCGCGGATTTTTGTTGGGGAGGTTTTGTCGCATGGATCCTTCAATTCTGCATGTACGTTTTCTGTGTGCTGCCCGCTGCGATGGGCTCAGACAGGTATCGAACCCTTCCCTACACAGAAATCCTACTTGTAGAATCTGGAATGTCCGCCTTCTGGTGCAACGAAGCTTGAGGGATGCGGTACCAATTCCTCACTGGCTGTCTACTTTTGGTGAGCTCGCAGGATGTGGAGTCGGGTTTTGGAAGCACGTTTCCGGAGCTCCAAGAGGACATCCTGCTGCTCCAGATGGACGTGAAGCTCTCGCGTGGTCTGACGCAAACTGTGGATGCCCCTTCGGTTTCGGAGGGCTTCCAGGCAGCTGATTCGGAGAGTCCAGCCCTCCTTTCCGAGAGCTTCAAAAGCGAGGTGGAGGGCGGTGTGATGTTTGGACCCAAGACCAGTGCTGCCTTGTTTTTACTGTCCAGCTGTACCTTTGGACTGCTGTGCTTATGTGGTGCGAAGCCATTCATCACAGCTCCGTGCCTTGTCCTGAACCTCCTCCCCTTCCTGGCCTGGCCTTTGAATATCCTCTCAATGTCTTTGGCACAGAAACTGGGGAGTTTCACGAAATAAGGGACCATTGTAGAGACCTGGAGTGGTAGGATATGTGGTATCCTGATCCCGAAAAGGGAACACCTCGTGCTGTGTTAACCCATTAGCTGAGGTATTCAGAAGTACCTGAAGAGGAGGGAGAAAGCGAGGAGGTCAAAGAGCAGTCGCTCCTGGTGTGTTACACTGTCGTGCCTCAGCATGCTTAATGCTTCAGCAACACGCCACTGATTCACAAACCATCGCTTGGATGTTGTAATGCCTTCTGGACAGTTTATGAAGACGGTTGATAGTAAATAGATAACTTTCTGTAGAGGTTTATTGATCAGGGGTCCTGACAAAGTGGCCGCTCCACGTAGGCAAGGGTTTAGAATTAGTGGCTGTCTTTTCGGGTCCTTACATAAGGATTCTAGTCCTGGTCTTCAGGCTTGAAACTAGGTTCCCTTGTTGGTCTGAACTCGCAAGTGAAGCCCTGTTTTGATGCCTCGTCTCAGGTCTTCATGGATGCCTTTGGTTTCGGCGTCTACGCGCCCTTCATCCCGATCCTTTGCCAGACCTTTAGCTTGCAAGCCCACGACATGGGAACTGCCCTTGCGACTTGGATGACGGCTTTAGCAAAGGCTGTGTGGTTACTGTTGCAGACAACAAGACAGGAATCATGTTGGCACTAGCAGTATCACCGTCACCAGCAGCAGCAAATAAGAATGAAGGCCCGAGAAGGCGAGTTCACAGGCAGCAGTGGTACTGCAAGAGCAAAAATAGACCACGTGCTGCAATGCATCATCATCATCATCGTTCCTTGTGCTCATCATTCTTGACATTGTCGTCGTCATCCCCAGGACTGGTGTGTGTGTATATATACATATACATATATATATATATACACACATATATATATATTTCTGTGTGTATATATATATATGTATATATGTACACATGCGTTTTTAGTGTTTACAGTTTACTGGTGTCCAGCAGACAAGTTGGAGTCAGCCTTAGCTTGATTTTCCTTCCAAGGCAGCCTTCTCCTTGGCACAGGCACTGGCAACGCCCTTCTTGGGATACCTCTCAGATCGCTTTGGACGACGGCCAGTGACTTGCCTACCTTCCGAGTGCCAGGTAGTCCGACCGCCCGACGGATCGACGTATTTCTGTGCTTACCTACGGCCTGTACAGGCTACTGCTGCTATTGCTACTGCTACTGCTGCTGCTGCTGCTGTTGCTGCTGCCTCCGCTGCTGCTGCTACTCTGACTGCGACGACTGCGACGACTACGACTGCAACTGCTACAGTGACCACGAGATGACGAGCGGCCGCCACAGCAACGAAAACGACGAAGCTGCCAGTGCCTTTTTTCGTACCTGTGTTGAAGCAGCTGTCAGGTACTTTTAGCAGCTCTGGCCGCGGAGTCTCTAGAATCTCGGCATAAGTCGGAAGGATTGCATTGTGCGGTACTTGCTTCGCACAGACTTGAGGCTTACCTCATCCTCAGCATAGCCGAGAGTTTCAGCTGCCTCCTGGTGGGCTACACCCTGGCTGGAGCATCCTGTGGCACCATAGGCAGGATGCCAGAGCTTCACCACACAGGGATTTGAAGATTTTGACAGATTGCACTCAGGTGTGTGCAATGCGTACATTGCGCAGAATTCATCTGAGGAGGACCGGGCCTCACCGCAAGTTTATAAACGCTGACGCTACGTACGTCAGTCGCCGAACAGATCCACTATACGTGGTCTTTGGCTCAAGCATGACAAAACCCAGGCCCTTTCACGGACCTTCGTCTGGTGATTCTTCGTATATGTCGCGAGTGTCCGGCTGAGTTCAGCATGTCCAGCGCGGAGGAAAGACCTCCTGAAGCAAAGCCTCTCTCGAAAGGAGAGCAGGCACAGCACGAGTCATACGGTGCGCTGGGTGCCGCAGATGGTAACCAAGCCGCCACGACCTCCTGGGAAGCTGAGTATGCAAGTCCGTGGGCGATTTTGTTCAATACCTTGGCATTGGTTGGCTACCAGATTGTGGCCATGGCCATTATTGCTTATCAGGTGTTCTACAGGCGTCACTACGTCATGGCATGCTTGCATAACGAGCTATGCACTTGGCAGTTGTGGGCTTGTGAATATACAAAAGCCTTTACGAGGTTCTTCCCCCTGATTGCAATCCTCATTTCAATGAGTTTGGCACGAAGCATGATCCTGGTCCAGCGCATGTATTACGAGCTGTTGCGTCACGGCGCTGTTCTGCAGTTCAGAGAGTACCAGAAAGACAGAGAGCCGGTCTTCTACATCTTGACATTCTGTTTCGTGCAGGGTGCAGCCAACTGGGTGTTGGATGCATTTACTGCAGCAGGCACCGATTCGAGGTACTGGACAGAGCCGAGCCCCTACATGAGCGCGACAGAGAAATTGCGGCAAGGGGTGATGTACTTGGCCTTACCCATGACGGCCTTTATTTTGTCCATCTATTTCACACATGACCCGACCTACTACTTGGTGCCACTGAGCCGGTACCTCCACGCACGCACCTCAGAGGGATCTGAGGCGGCGCGTCGAAGCTTGGCCGGCCTGGTTTTGGTGCATGAGGACTTCATTGCACCCGCAGTTAAGCACATTGAGGTGCCAGTTTCCAGTGACCCAGAAGCCGCCGATCGAGCAACCCGTGCTGTTTATCGGGAGTTGATTAAGACAGCTCTGGACTTGGAAGGTGGTGGAAGTGTGATGATGGGGAAGAAGCGCATGATCGTCCTGAAGAGCCAGATAACGGACCGCTTTTGGCCGGCCAGATTGCTTTTCAACCTTGAGCTGGCAGACCAAGGCAGCCAGCAGTTCCGGCTTGTGAGCAGATTCTACGATTTCGCCATGGCCTAAGGGGGGCATGCAATCTTTCAGTCCTGGCTATGTACGCCCGATCATCTCATGTGCTTGGGAGTCTGCCCTCTGCAGTTGTCCTTCCGGTTGGCTCGATGTCTGCTGAATTTTTGTGTGTGTGGGGGTCTTCATTTGGAGGTACACACACACACACACACGCGCACTCGTACACACATTACACACTCATACAATCCAGGCCTGGCTGTCTGCTCGAATCCATTCGGAAACCCCATGCACGAGTGCGTCTGCTTCGCATGCGCCAGAATCCAGACCGGTGTAGTTTACAGAGATTTGGAGTCCCTTCGCACTGGTGACCCCAAACGACCCCGCACGCCTCAGGGGAGGGAGGTTCGATGCATCTGCTGCACAGGTTTTCTGTCGCTAGCAGTGCTGCTGCTTCATACTGTAGGTAGCCGGCCCAATCTCATGATTACTAGTGACTAGTGAAAGTCTTCGCTCTGCCATGGTTGCTTTATTGTTACTCTCATCATAGCCGGTGTGGTTCTGGTGATCGTGAATTAAAAGCGGTCACGGTGGTGGTACAAGTATTTGTCGCCATCATGGTGGTCGGTAGTGGCAGTGGCAAGGTCCACCTTGGTCTTAGTCAGCTGGGCTGTGCAGCATGCCGCTTGTTTCTTTAAACTCCGTGAGCTAAGATTGCCAACGACTAGCAAACTAGGGCCTTCCACGTCCTCTTTGTGAGTGGAGCCTCCAAGGTCTGCATCTTTGCAGCTGCCGTGTGCGCATTCATTTTCATCCAGCATGCCGTGTCTGAGTTCCGCGATATTCAGCGTGGTGAGATCGAGGATAGCGCAGCACTCGTGGTGGAGGCGGCTCATGCATGCTACGCGCTGATGTACAGCTACAAGATCTGGCATCGAACGTTGATGCATTGACCGTGAGTCCCGTTTGGTGCTCGAAAGAGCTGTCCCGCGAAGCATAGCAAACGGCTCCCGAGAGAAAGCGATGCCCGCTGAGGATGTCCGGCAGCAGTACCCCAACCCCTAATCCAGAATGCCCCCACTGACTTGTTGCAGTTGTTGCATCCAATGCTCACGGGACCAAAAACAGTCGGCAGGATCGCCCGGTCCGATTGGCATACAGCTCCGGCCTCTTGCCTTGCAAACTAGAAAGCGTATTAGCCATGTGGGTAGACATAGGTCAAAGACACATCGGTGTACGTGTATGTATGTGTTTTGTGTCATGTTTTATCAAGTTAAACCGTGAGATGTGACATGTTGTGTAGGGGGCCTTGTCAAGGCAGCATCGCCCTGGGCCTCATGCTGGGCCCCGTGGTCGGTGCAGTTGCCGCCTTGGCTTTTGGTTTTGGCTTTTGAGCTGCTGTTCTGGCTGTTCTGTGATGATCTCCGAGGGCCTGAGCCACGAGGGCTTTTCGGCGGCCGTACGCGTCTGTGCTGTTCTGAGCACCACGGCTGCAAGATGCAAGTGCCATGTCTGCTATGTGGGCCCCTGGGGCTTTTCGGCCTCTCTTCGACCTGCAGGCCTCGTGAATTGGCTCTTCGTGTTCAGTTCGCTCGCTGAGTCTGAGCGCCTTGCCTTCTCTTCGTTTGGGAAGCAGAGTTCTTGATGTCTCAGTGGTCCCTGGCGCTCTGGAGACACGAGGAACGTGCTGCTGAGAAGACAGCCGAAGGAGGAGAGCCGTTCTGCGTCTCGTGGCAAAGACAGATCCGCAAGCGCCACGAGTTTCTTTGGGGTCCGGTCACATTACGGCCCGTGGCCGTGCCCGTGAGGTTGGAGTCCCTTCCAAGGCTGGTGGAATTGTACGGACCGCGTCTCGCAAATTCAGGGGGCTCTTGCTGGTAGAGAAGAGGCTGGCCTGGCCATTGTTCTTCGGCGCCTTCCTGGGCAATGCTGGCATTGCTGCTGCAGAGTCCTGTGGTGCGCTGTTGCAGAGCTGCATCCGAGCCGAGCTCTGGAGGCACTGGAGGCCCCTTTTCCTTTTTTCTGAGGTTTGTCATGGACTCCTACTTCCGGGGCTCCTCCTCTGCAGCAGCGGAGAGCACCCAATTTTTCGCCTACAACATGATGATCTCTGGCATCCTCGTGATCATGATCACCAACTTTGTCTTCCCTATGCTGATGCAAACTGCTTCACAAAAGTCTTTCCTTCTTTTTTTCCGCCCAGCAAAACAAGAAATCCCATGCAGCAGATGAGGCACACGCTGAGGCAGCAGAAGACGATGTTCTTGGGCCTGGTCCCGAGATCCCAAAACAGCCAAAGAGTTGCGGCTGCTTCAGCTCCACAACATGGCTGCTGCCTGCTGCTGCACTGAGGCGTGTGTCTGCGCATTGTTGGATATGCTGGCCTGGGATTGGCACCTACCAAGCACTTTGGTTGAAATCTGCGTGCCAGTGAGTGTCCGCACTTGATCGCACTTGCACTTCTCGTGGCATGTAGCCGTTGTAGCCTCGACGGTGAACCCTTAAATCCGACAGCGAGGTGGTGCTTCCTCGCTTCGCAGCTGGCGGTCGTTACGGGCGACAGCCTCGCTGCACCAAACCTCTCTGCTCTACTAACGGAGGCGCACTGCCCTGGAGCCGCACGTTGTTGTTCTCCGTTGCTAGTTGATGCCAGTTGTTGTGGTTGTCATTGTAGGTTAACTTACCGTTGTGACTGTTTCAGAGTCCGCCGATCTGGCAGGTGGTCGGCAAGTCTTCCTATGGAATCCGAGCGGCAATAAGGGTCGGCAACGCATGCTGCACATACATGTCATACATGTACATATACATGTACGGTATACATCGCGCAGATATGTGCATGTAGCCCTATGGAACATCGCGAAGGAGCCGCACATTTATGATGGACTGACTGTACAGTAGACGCAAGATGGGTGGAGGCTTGGTTTTCAGGGAGGCTTGCCCGAGGCATCGCCCTGGGTACTTTGTCCACCTTCCAAGCTGCAGCCCGCGTCTTGGACACGCTGCCCTTCGCGACGATGTACGAGAAAGTTTCTCATTCAGCTGCTTGCATGCAGGTCACTGCGATCTGGTTTCTGCAGGGTTTGGAAGAGGTGTGAAACTGGCTACCTTGCGTTGAGGTTTCGCCAGGTGACTAGGAACACCAACAAACTGCCAGTAGCTGGCTGGAGCTGCAGTAAGAACAAGGGAACATGCAACGACGACCTTTAGGCTGTAGCGCAGGCCGCTTTCACAACATCCGACAAAACGCCGTGTCACTTTGATGTGTCTGCATGACGCAAAGGGCCAGGATTTAATCAGGGGCACTGCTTGTCATTTTCGGGATCGCCTGTAAGTTTGCATGGGCGGGCATGAGCTGCCTTGTCGCAGTGCAGCTCAGGCACCCTTCTTGACCGTCGCTGTTCTCGCTGTGGCTTCTGGCGCTCTTTGGTTTGTCGTCTACTGGCAGATGCAGCTGCAATCTTTCAGAACCCCCGCTCTGGGGCATGAGATGCCCGCCGAGATTCCAACTCGCTCAGGGTATCCAGTGAGCTGAACTTTGAGTGACAAAAGGTCGGTGCTGCCAGTGAAGCTGTGGCAAGGGTTCTTCCAACTTGGGGCAGAAGGGCGCCTGCCCCCCCAACACCGGTTAAACACCCCCCTAAACCCCGTCTAAACCCCAGAACCCGAGCAGACTTCGGAAAGTTTCCGCTCAAGGAGGCCTGCAAGACTTGGCGGCGATGCCAGCAGAGACACTCTTGCCGGAGTCTTCCGAGCCCAAGCCTTAAGGGTTTCGGGTTTTTTGGGGGTTTCCGGGATTTCGGTGTAGTAGGGTTATAGGGTAGTATACAAAGTTTGAGGGTCTTGTAGAGTAAAAGTAATGGTAGAAATCAGTATCAGTTGATGTATAGGTGATAGAATGACGACCGTTTGTCTTCTTCTTGTCGTTGTGTGCGCATGGACACATGTAAATGGGGGTAAGGTTGTGAGTTCGTGGTATCCTGGAATAACACCCTCAAGTTTCCACTCAGCAGCGCTTTTGATGAGACTTGTGTGCAGTCACCAAAACCCCTAGTGCAATCCCAGCTTCATCGGTGCATAGCTGGATATCTTGTGGCATACAGGTAGGACCCACGGATGCCTGCTCTTGGCAAAGCTTCCAAGGCCAGACGAGGCTCCACACGAGGACGCAGAGGCGAGAAGCGCATCTCGCACTAGGTGCATTGTGTCAGGACAGTATTCGAACCTCAGAAATACACCCCTGAACCCCAAAGCATGAGAACCTAGAACCCTAAAGTCCCGAACCCCAAACATCCAGATATCCGGTCCTAAGCTGACGCTGACGCAAGGTGCACGGCGAGGCAGATGCAGTGGAGGAGTGCTCAAGCGACCATGCTGGCCTTGCGCTGACGCCAGAAGCTCGGAGTTTCTAGGGCCTTGTGTTGTTCGGATGTCTTTCAGGTGTCTTCAGGTTCTTCGAAGTGAGTGCCAGTGCAGGCAGAACAATCCCGATCTGACGATGCCGCGAGTCGCAGCATCATCTTGGAACATATACAAAACTGTCACTCTTCTACTACAGATGGCGATGACATGTCTATGTGTATACAGTTTACATGCATATCTAAAGATATCATGCTTCTCCCGGGTGCCGAGGCCCAAAGACTCTTGGAGCTCCGGATCTGACGCCGAGTGGGAGCGAGAAGAAAGTCTCCACTGCATTCTGCCACCTACGGTATGTGATGCCTGGGTGTATGTTTGGGTTTTGTCGCGGGAGGGGGCCGGGGGGTGTTGAGTATAAAGGTGCGTGTACATATATGTATCTATATGCATATATGTATATATGTAGACAGACATATGTATATATGTACAGTGTCCAGATAGGCAGTATATGTGTGTGTGTACATATATACACATATACATATGCCGGGCATTCATAAAATATGCACAATGTGATGAAGCACGGAAAGGAGTGCAATGCAATTCAGCAGTCCAGTTTCATAGCCATATATGTGACACGAGCCATGCATTTGAACTTGTGGCGACATATGTCGTATTGTATAAGGTAGGGTACAGAAATACAGCAGACACTATCCAATCGAACTATGGAATATTGCATGCATCACTTCTCAAATATAGCACTATCATATATGGCATGCAGCTTGATGCATGTGAATATGTTTACATGTGCATACATGCATACGGATGTGTACAGATGCAGTATTCCTTACTTTACAGTTTGCATGATATAGAACGGTCGTCAAAGACATGAGAAGGAATGAGACTGGTAAGAGAAGGAATGAGACTGGTGGGATTGAAAGTTAGAACAGTACAGCCTATCAACTTAGAACGGTGTGCACACCTACGTTTCTATCTATATATATATATATATATCTAGAGACGTATGTATGTATGTATGTATGTATGTACGTATGTATGTATGTATGTATGTAGATCACAGACACATGCACGTACACGTACACATACACGTACTCATAGAAACACACACACACACACATACAT